AAAAAACACCCCCCCCCCCCCCGCAGCATATTTTGAATCAAAAAGGCAGACAATTCTTTATGTAATGTCAGTGGGTTCTATGCTTTAAGCACAGCATAGATTTAATGAAGAAAAGCCTATCAGGAAGCAGGGATGGCATTCGTCTTCAGCGTCAATATGCTAGTCTTTCTGCCCACCCCCAACTCCCCCCCCAGTCGCAGGTGAAATCATCTATAAGCATTCTGATCAAGGCTAGAGAAAAACACTAACATAAACCTTAACAGCATAAGTAAGTGAAAAGCAAACCTCTAGTCCTCTCGTCCTTCTCCACTTCCCAGCACACATGAAGAGAGGCTGGACAGGTGAATTTCTACGTCACACCCACCACTTCATGCAGTGTTTCGTAGGGGACAGCAACCAATCCTGCTTCACAGAGATCTAGCTAGTGTGTAACAGAAAGGTGGCAGGTGCTGACCCTGCGACTGGGAGAGCCCGGCTACCACGAGGTAGCTTGCTCATGGTACACCAGCCCCCTTTTAGAAAACGACTTTGAACAACAGAGGGGATGGGGTGGATCTAGGATCCTTGGGCAGTTTGGTGTAGTAGTTAAAAGAGAGCGGGGGATGGAATCCAAGTGCTTGGGTTCCAGTTGCGGCTGGCTGTACTGTATGGTAGCTACATACCTCAGTCTCCTCATCTACAAAACAGTAATTAACCCACCTCGGAGTTGCGCCGATTAAAAAAGGTAATACCTAAGTGCTTAGCACATTGCCTGACGTATCATCTCTCAATAACTGTCACCTATTGATTGTTAATCATCCCGTAGCCATTTGAAAGCACAGCTGGTTAGGCTAAGGAGATGGTGATTGATAAAGGGGTTTTTCCAGATTGATAAAGGGGTTTTTCCAGACCCTCCCCTAATTCCAAGATCAGGCTTTGGTCAGGCTGAAAAAGTCAACACACTACAAAATACTGATCCTGTTTCCACATACTGTTGGACACCACATATTCTTTCAGGAGCTGCGAGAGAGGGGGATGATACCCGCCACCCAGGGCGTGGACCCCCCAGTCTCAGAGTCCCAATATAGACCAGTGAGCCCCCTGCCACCAACCTGCCATCTCAGTCATCTCATTTTTTTCTTGTTCAACCGTTCTACAGCTCCCTCCCCTCTTCACCCTCTCTTCCATTTTCATCATTGCCAGCCCAATCTTATTTGCACTACTGTCCAAACACGTACGTGGGGGAAGTCACTGAAGGGTGAACCTCAGGGGCCTGCTTTCTGGGCTGTGGAACACTGATTGATTTAGGGAGAAGAACATCTTTCCACCAGCCCAGATGGCATGTAAGCCTCTTTTTTAGGCCAATCTCACTGTTCCCTTCTCCCTCCACTGCTATAACTGGAAGGGTCAAGACTCTTAGGACTGAAACAGCAAGACTAAGACTACATAATTTAAACATATTTAATTTACAGAAGACAAACTTATACTGGATGCCTATTTTACATAAGCAAAGTTCTGTGCAGGGCACTGCAGGAGTCCACAGTCTCTTCACTCAAGGGGCTTGTGACTGATGGGGGCGGGGAGAGTTAGAAGCAGATTAATTAACCAAACCAAAAGGCAAAACAGATTGTCACAATGAAGACAGAGGCAGAATGCTGAGGGAGCACTGGGAAGGAAAGGTTTACCCCAAATGGAACGTTTCCCAAGACGTGAGCTATCAAGACCACGTTATTTATGAAGGGACCCGATTCACTTAACTGGACCCTGCTTCTATCTTTTGCACCTCAATTAGCCGCTACTCCTAAATTGCTACAATAGACACAGGGGGCATTCTTTTAACTTTAAGACAGATAAATGTCATTAGAAATCTCTAGCCTAGAGGCCTACAAGAAAAATCTTACCTTTCCAGATCTACAATAGGCAGCTGCAAACCTTGTGGCCTCCCGGACACACAGGATATCCATTCCATCTACCTATTAATAAAGGGGAAAGATTAAATAAACACAACATTGTAAATCAACTATACTTCAATAAAATTTTAAAAATAAAAAGGGGCAGAGCATAAATCCAACTGCCTAAAACCATTTTCATCTTGCATGACCTGTTCATCCACTAAGAAAACAGAACTCTTTGATCTCTCTGAAATTTTCAAGGGCGCCTGACAGAGTGCCCGGGGAATCAGGCCCTGAGGGTGTAGCTCCAGCTCTACAACGGGTGTCCTTACCCTCAGCCCAGGAATGAAGTCGCCTCTCTTGTAGTAATCAGTGCTGGCTGCTGCTCTCTCCACAGATGTTCCCATCCCATAGCGGTTATTCTCACAGATGAAAATACAAGGCAATTTCCACAAAGCCGCCATATTGTAAGCTTCGAATATCTGACCCTGGAAGTATGTATAAAAGTTCAAGTGGTTTCATTGTGCTGTTTTTCTCTAGACTTCGTCATCCACAACAGCTGCTGCTCGACCCAGCAGAGAAAGCTTTCATAGGATGAAACGCCTCACCCACAACTAAGCTTCTGAAGCAAAGGAGTGTGTGCGCTTGGGGGGGAGGGGGGAGCGGGGGCATGGCGCAGCAAACCCATCACCTCTTTTGCCGCTAAGGAAGTGACAAACCAAGTACTGCTACTTGCTTCTGTAGGGCCAAGGCAGCAGCGGAGAATACAACGGGAAAAGATCGACATGTAAGAATGTACTACGGCTGCCTACTTGTGTGCTTCATTATAAATTCTATGAGACCCTCTGGATGACCAGAGTGAACCGGTGTCTGAGAATCAGCATCCAGAGCAGGGCCTCGCAGGGTGTCAGCCACGGACTGGTGATTACTCACACCACGACAGAAGAGCAAAAGGAGTCAGGGCTCAGAAACTATGAGAGGACTCTGACAGTGCCTTGGCATTCAGGGGAATAAGTCTACATTACAGTACTGGTTTAAGAATTGGTTTGCCAAGGATTAAAACGTAAATCAGTCCTTCCCCACAGAGTCTGTGGAGCACTGACGTAGAGCAAAGGTGAGCGCACTCTTAGGAGTACACCTAATATAAAGCGCTTGTGAAACAATGCCAGGATGTAACTCTCTAATGTGGCCACAAACCCAAATTTTAGCTTTGCCAGATAAATGGCCATTTCAACGAGTAAGCAATACACTGCTTCGCCACAAACTGAACTATGAATATTCAACACTTTGGACATAACACTCTAACCATTATTGCAAAGTCAAGAGACACATACTCACCTGATTAGCAGCGCCATCACCATACAAAGTCAAACAGATTTCATCTTTTCCGTTATATTTACAGGCCAGAGCAATCCCAGCTCCCAGGGGCACCTAATATTACGGGCAACCAAGAAAGGAACCACAGAAATCCGTGAGGGAAGAAGTTAGTGCTCTGAATGTTAACTCCTGACCAGAATGTGAGATAGAAATGGCACTGTCCCTACCCCAACCCTGTCTCTGCTTACCCTACCCCCAATATTATAAACAAACTGGCAAAGTAACACGAATAACTACTATCGTATTCTATGTCAACCATTTAGCAATACCATTTATGCATTCAGAGATTCAACTGCTAATCCTAAAAAGCCAAAAAAAGAAAAAGAAACCAAGGATTAAAAAAAATACCAAAAACAAACAAAAAAACCCAGATGCTAAAACCTTAATATATCAGAAAGTAAACCGAACAATCTAGATACGATCTTCTACTGTTCCTTGTTCATTATTTACTAACTGGTGAGAACAAGGAGGACGGCATAACCACAGAAGCTGGCTTTAGATTCAAACTAGGCCCTTAAGATCCTGACCACCTGCTTCTCCTGGTCTGGTACCAGTGCCAGCACCGTCTACAGCAGGCAGAGAGGTGTGGCCAAGAGGATGTGACAAAGCAATTAAATATCAAGTAAACGGCAAAGGTATAGTTCTACTGCTAGAGGCTCTTGCTTACTTATAAAACATAACAAGTACCTAAAAGGAAACATTTTAAATCACTGTCCAAATCTATTTATTAAATGATAGGGTATGAAGCAAGAGGTCATTTAAAGCACACCATGCCCCCCAAGTACTGAAGTACTTCAGAGGGAAGTTGTCTGGGGTACAGAATATTGCACAGATGTGGGCCAGGGCCAAATCCAGAAGATCATACAATCCTAGTCCTCAACTACCTGAGCTCCCACGATGCCATTGCCCCCGTAGAAGTTCTTGGCGTACATGTGCATCGATCCTCCTTTTCCTTTAGCACAACCTCCTCTTCGTCCTAGAAGTGGCACCACACAAACATGACACATCAAAAACCAAATACATAAAACAAACAAAAACACTCCCTGAGTATTTACGGAGAGGCTCAACCATTAGAACTCAGAAACCGGTTCAACTACATAAGCACCTGTCCCTCTATGCAAATACATAGACAAGTCCTCCTTGTCTCCTGGCCCTTTTATAATGAAGGTCAGACCAGTCCCATGTCCTTGACCTTTCCAACTTTTTCAGCTCTCTAATCTCACTGAGTTTTCTTCAGATGTTAGTGTGGTACCATAGACTTTTTTTTTTTTTTTTTTTTTTTGGCCAGTTACAAACATCTTCTGATTTCTCCTACACTGCCATAAGAGTCAAGGGGAACAAAGGGACTGTTGAGAGAAGATTCTACCCAATGAATTTCTACCCAATGAAACACTTATACTCAATTTACTTTCTTTGCTAGATTTCTATCGGCATGCCTGTGTGATAAACACTATTCTGATTTTATAGAGCTGACCTTTTACCTGAGAGGCCAGACAACCTCAAAAGTGGTCAGTTTACTCAAAAGCACAATAGAGGGCTTCCCTCGTGGCGCAGTGCTTGAGAGTCCACCTGCCGATGCAGGGGACACGGGTTCGTGCCCCAGTCTGGGAAGATCCCACGTGCCGCGGAGC